GAAGTTTATTGGTCCATTTCGGTCAAGGGGCAACGCGGACAACTTTTGCCAGTCTTTATTGTATAAAAAGAAACAAAGATTTTAAAGTGAGAGCTTAACTGAGGAATCGATAAACAGATTTTTAAATCAAATGGAGACACGACTCACTTCGAGACATCCTTTTCTTCCTGCAGAGCTTTCTCCAAACGTGCAAAAGTGCGAATCTGAAAAATCAAGACAATCAAAATATAGTTTTCATTACAATAAAAAAGCAAAAACATCCACTGATGACTCTCTAAATGAAACTCACAAGTTCAGTGACCATTATAGGCCAAAGGGATATCAGGTGATGGGATGAGATCCTCAACAAGAGAACACGAAACATCAGGAACATCTGGGCTGAAACAGCAGGGCTTGGGTTCATACGCAAAGTCTCCGTCAGACGCTCTGAAAGATGCGGAAAACAAAACGATCCAGCGTTAACATGTAGAATAGAAAAGAAAATCTACTAAAACATCCAGTAACGGTGTCCCACCTTGAATAAGAGGAAGATAAAGATGATACTGGTCCAGTTCACCGCTGAACATGGCAAACGCCTGGCGCTTCAGCAGCATGGGCTTCTGGTCGGCACTGGAGAACAACTTCAGGGCGCTGCTCTGCATACCTGTTGGAGAATAAATATGAGCAAATATTTAGAGTTGAGTTTACAACACTTCTTCACAAAGGCCCAGTTGGACTTTTTGCTTATTTACAAAGTTTTGGTTCGTTACAAAACAAACATACCCTATATCTCAGCGAAACTCCAACATCCTAGAATTTGTACTCACCCAAGAGATCTTTAAACACGGTCTTCTCATGAGTCAGCAGGTGATCAATAATTGATTTCCAACTGAAGAAAAAAATGCAAACATCAAACAGACAATAAAAATCTGACATATTATCTGCTCTGGTTCCAGTATACATTAGGGAGGTCATTATTAATACACTGACCTGTGTGCACAAGAGGCATCCATAGTGAAGAACAAAGGGTCCATAAAGAGCTCAAAAACCTCCTTCTTCCAGGCCCTTTTTGTATAAGCATACCCACTGAGACTGCTCACCAGCTGAGCACTTGCTTCAAAGCTGGGCATATTGTAGGCACTGCAGATAAAATAAAACCCATAGGAATCGGGTTACCCAGAAGGAAACAGTGGGATACAACAAAGATGATGCACCAATCAGTGACCTGTGATTCTTCAGGTAGGGGAAAACATAGTACAGGAGACGGGAGATGAGAGGAACAGCTTTTTCTTTCTCATCGCTGCGGTATACCATGTCCAGAAGAGGTGCCAAGATCTACGCAGGGAGAAGGAAATGTAACGTCACGAAATGGACTGATTTTAAAGATCCCACAGGCCATATGCAGCCAGAGCAAATAACCTTGGCTGCTACATGTTCTGCTGTATCTTCCCTTGTCAGGAGTCTGTGAGTCTGCACAACTCAGCATTTTAATCAGATGACTTCATCAGCTGAGCGCAGCTTCATCAGATGATAAAGCTGAGCAGTGGCATTCCTTTCCCCAAGGCCCTTCACAAGATAACTGTTTTAGATAAATCTTTATTCCCAGAGAAAAGAAGATTTCATAATTAAAGTAATCATTTTATAATTCAAAATAATCATTGAAGAAAGAAGATTTTATGATTAAAAATCATTACATATTGCCATATATAATTAAGCAATGAAATGTTCAGGAATCTGTATTCAATGATGGTTTAGCATGTTTACAGGATGAGGTCATCATTACACCAGACAGAGAGTAAGGTTTAGATTAAGAATGCGTGACACATAACTAACCTTGTCCCTAGACTCAGAGACTCTGCGTCTCAGTGCGTGTGTTTCTGAGATTCTTGGTAAGTTTGGTCATAGATAACGGCGGGTATATAAACCAGCCGCTCTGCTTTCTTAGCAGTCGGGAGAGAAAGCTAGAGACTGGCCATCTCTTAGCAGATCTATAGCTCAGAAAGATTTTGATGCGCTGTCAAAACCTTAAACCTTTTTTTGCACCTGCAAAGCTGAACAACAAGATAGTTTTCCTGCAGAACAAAGCTGATTTTGCACAACTCCTTCAGAGTTATTCTAAGTCGCATGGTTTCCATCCATCTGTTGTGACCCGGGAGACATCTCTGGACTGAAAGGTGGTACCTCGGTACTCTACAGTCCTCCGGTGCCAGCGGTCATCCGACCCCTCTCTCCCTTTCGGATCCTCAAGGGGGTCTCCGAATCCGGGTAATGCAGACACACAGATGGCGTCTGAATGTGGTTCTGATAATAACATCTTATTTGCAAACCAAATTCTTTCCATCCAGAACTCAGCTCTGAGAAACAGAGATTCTGAATACATTATATTCACACATAGTTTTCAGACGCCCATCTTTTAGTTCCATCCACTCACAGGATAATAGTTTAAACCATTTGTCAAGTCTTAATTGTAAAATAAATTCTTATTTGTTTGCAAACACTGACTGGTTCTTGAATCATAAATGAAGTGCAAACATCCCTTAATAATTAAAAGAATTCTAGAACCTTTTAATTAATCATCCTAAGACCAAGCAAAGTGATATTATATAATTAATAGAGTATTACAGCTATCGGTCACAAGTAATGAGAATAGAAATAAATAGCTTTTAAAGCAATTTATTTAGCCCACATTACTCTACTATTTCCCATTACAGAAAGTTAACGCCGCTGACGTCGTTAGGTCCGTTTTAGGGGGGCTGAAGCCCCCCTAAAATAATCACAAGCCCCCCTATCATTTTGAGTTTTTTTAGGGCTGGGACTTTAACGCGTTAATTATTATTAATTCCTTGCATTTCGAGCACGGCGGAACCTTTGTCATTGCACGACTTCCTCGTAGACAGAATATCACTGACGCACACAACAATGCACAGTGCTAATGGCTACTAAAACGAAATAAAAACGGAAAGAAGTTGCCTTGCTTGGACTGATGCAGGATTTAGGAAACACGCCCGCCTCTTTTCTTAACTTGAAAAAAAAAACGAACTTCCAGACAACAACGGAGTCCGTGTCGCGGACATTTTTCAGAGATCGTCTCTGCTTCGGCTGCCCGGTGGCACTGGAAACTTTACAAAAGTTGCGGTAAGCTATATTTTTTAACATTTACGTAGCATCTGTGCAGCGCTGAAAGCACCAGACAGAATAATTCTGTGCCCTAACAGTAGTTTATGAAAGTAGTCAGACAAACGAGAGGCACCTGGCTGCCGCTGGGAGAACGCTCGGTGTTCTCACTCTGTAATCAATCACAGACAACGTGTCATAAAGTTGAAAACAGAAGTTTACGTTAAAACAGAAACACTCTGAAACTTTTCTGATGATTTTCTAAACAATTCTGTCGGGGAGTTATAGGTTTCTGAGACGAGTCTGTCTAAACATCACATGTATTACTATCATTAAGCAGCAGGTGTGTTGAAGCTGTCATCAGCTAAGGGGCGGATGCTTAAATGTATCAGGGGCAGCGAGGAACGAGAACGTTGTGATCAGGCTGGAGATCACACCAGATTCGCTGCAGCAGGCGTGAATCTGCGGGTCTGCAGCATCCTCTTCTTAACGTGACATCAGAACTTCCCATGTAAGGAAGGTCCGCTCACCTGTTCGTCAGATCATTATTTCCTCACCATGATCTTTTATCATCCCATCATCTGGAACTGGAACCAGTTAGTGTTCCTGATCATTCTCAGAATATGCCATGCCTGCTCTGGTGTTAAAAGTTAGTACATTTAAGTCCTAGATCATATTTGTTCCTGTTCTACTGTCATTTTGAAGGATTATTATTTATGTGCTTTTACTACATTATGAGTAGAAATGCTAATAAAAACTCCCAATTATACAAACAAGTGAAACTGGAAAAATTAGAATCTGGTGCAAAGTCAAATTTATTTCAGTAGTTCAACTAGACAGAGAGACTATTTAAAGGCTCAGGAACCCTTTGCAGGCATTTTCTATTTGTAATTATAAATTTTAGTTGATTTGGGTCTTGTTTCATATCACACAGTGACATTTGATAAATTAAAATGCATTTTTTTTATTAAAAGCTTTAGTTTTACAGTAATAACTATGTCTAATGTTTAATTCTCTGTCTCATAATTTTAATTAAGTTTTGCTTTGAGAGCACATTTTCCTGAACGATTAAAATGCGATTAATTTAGATTAATTAATTAAAAAGCCTCTAATTAATTAGATTAAAATTTTTAATCAAGTCCCAGCCCTAATTTTATATATACTGTTATTTTGTCTTGTAATTGTTAATTACATACTCCTTTATTCCATATCATAGCAGTGTTATTCATATATTAAAACTGTCAACTGCACACTCATTTGGCAGAATAAAAGTTTGACAATTATTCATTTGTTCTTTGTCAAATTTCAGTAACATTTATAACCAAGCAATTTGTAATTAAACAAATGACTGCAACATTTCCCCCTGTTAAGTGCAGTAGACTGAAATGAATAGCTTTATTTGAAAATATAACATATCTAATTTTTAATGGACTTATATAAAATCTTTCTTCAACATAGACCCCACTAATGAACTGATTAAGTGTTATTTTTTTATAAAAAGAAGAGAGAAAATGCACAAAAGTAGGAAAGGAAAAGAAAGTAATAAAATAATAGGTTTTGTTAAATGTTCTTCAGATAATGAATTAATTGACAAAGTTTTTGCAGGGTGTGACAAAAAATGTTCAAGGTCAAGCTCCTGGGGCTAAGCCCCCCCCATCTCTCAATCCTAGTGACGTCCAAGGTTAATGCACAAAGACACGCTCATCTTTAATTTACCAACTGCTGAGAGGAGACTTGGGGCAGACTCATTGATAACAAACAATAAGTGCAGTGTTTCCCTTACATAGGCTGAAATCCCAGTGCCACGCCTACAAGATCCTGTTTTACAGATTAAAAAAAAAACATTTTTTTTGCGCTGTTTCCAGAAGAAGCAGCGGGAACTACTCTGTTGTTGCTTGTGATCACAGCCGGCAGGCAGCAAGGAGGAGGAGGCAGGGCATGGTGGTTACAGCTAGGGAAACGAGTATCCAGTACAGATAAAGCATGATATTTTGAGATATTTTCAGCACCAGAACAATGAAGCTAAGAAACAGATTCCTGAGTTTATGTTAGTAATTTTTATTTATTAGGTGCACCTGATCTGTTCTATTTTTCCCTGAAATGAGATCAAATCAGTGCTTCTATGGGTTGTCTCCTCTCTGCACTAGAAAAATGTACTTTATTATAATGTTCACTGTAATGCATCTTGATGTTCTTAACAAATAAATTAAATCAAAGAAATGGGTCAATAATGCCAAATATGTAAATTTGTATTTCAGTCATTTTTATATTGGCTTAAAAATACTTCATTAAGTCTACTAAGCAGGGGTGTAGAAGGTTTTTAACAGGGCCAGCCCAGTAATGATCTTGAACCAAAATAAAGGAGGCAGAAGGTCAAATAACGGGGGGCAGAAGGAGATGTTTGTCCAAACACCAACCCCCCCCCCCCCCCCCAACCCATCACAGGTTGTTTACATCAGCGTTCGCCTGATAAGCGGGGAAGCTGACGAGGGCCTGTTTTGAGCGTGATAAGCTCATGTAGTGTGTTCTGATACAGCAAGAGTCTTCCTACAGCAAAATAAAGGTGATTTTACCTTAACTAAAAGCCTAGGTTGCACAAGGTAAAATATCTCTCCACAAAGTAAGGGTGTTCGTCAGGAGGGGGCAGAGGTCAAGCCCACCACATTGTACCATTAGCCAAGGCCTTGAGATTTTACAACTAAAGTTAGCTCGGTGGCTTGGCTCGCAACACCAACAATACATAACAAACGCATAAATACCAACCTCTGCAAGAAGTTTAAGAGCCTGCACGCTGAAAACCGAGGGAGCAGAGGAAGACACCATGGCGTTAGCCTGAGCTACGGACTCTGGAAAAGAAAAGGCAATATGCGAGTGCAGGATTAAGATCAGTCTGAAAACATTGCATCAAATTCATCTCCTGGAAAAAAAATGCCCTTTTTGTCACGGTAGATCTAATGTCTTAATTTATCATGATGTGTGATGGAAATTGTTATGTCATACATAATTAGCTTGTGCTTAGAGCAGGCTCCTTGTGTGCGACTGAACCCACACACACAGACACACACACACACAGACACACACACACACACACACACACACACACACACACACACACACACACACACACACACACACACGGTTTGTTTAAACAGCTGTCCTCCTCTAGTCAGGTAGCCTCGATAACTAGATGGGTTAGGGTTAGAGTTTTTTGTCTGTCAGGGGAAGAAGAGGAGCAAGGAGGATGGGCAGAATGAGAGTGTGTGTGTGTGTGTGTGTGTGGGGTGTGTGTGTGTGTGTGTGTGTGTGTGTGTGTGTGTGTGTGCCTGATGAACTATAGCTGTATGTATTCTTTTATTCTGGGCTCATTTCTGTGACCTGTTCATTGAGTGTGACCCAAACGCTTTTTAAGCCTTTGAATGAATAAATAAGACAGAAGACAAGCCTGTCTCTCTCTCACTCATAAGTTCAGGTCAATTATTTCCACTAAAGATGCTTTTGTTTGTATCCAAATATCTAAAATTACCACAATGATCTCCATCCATGTCAGCGTCGTCTGGTTCCTCTGCCTCAGGGCACACCTGTGGCTGAACTTTGACCTCCAGGCTGCGGCTTAGCCAGCTGGTCTGCTCCAGAGACGAGCCCACAATCCCACTTACTGCCTCCAGGATCCGCTGGGTCACTTCCTGCACAATCATTCCATCACCTTAGCTTCTCACCTGCGTGTTTTTATGATCTCACACAACTATTTGATCTGTTCTGTGGAACGATCTGTGGAAAAAGTGAATCTCACCTGCAGATCTTTGGTATCTTTCTTGCTGTCCAGGTTGGGGAGCCGAATAACAAAGTCGTTTAGGATTCTGCGGGAGGATATCAAACACAAGCCATCAGTGGAATCATAGAATTGACCTATTTAATTTATATTTATAGGTGTAGATGGGCGCCGACCCCAGCAGTAAGAAATGTCCAGGTGGGGCCAGGTTAAGCTGAACGGACTCCCGTAACAAACTGAGGAGAGGAGCCACGTTTTCCTGCAGAGCCTGAGCCGGAATGCTGCGCAAGGACACACAAACGGTTAAAACATGAACACGGTTGATCACATGAGACAGGTAGCCTCACGTACCTCTGGATGTAGACGTAACTGAAGTGTAACATGGGGACATCGACCAGCGCCGACTTCTGATGGAGAGAAAAGAGAAACAAATGATCTCTGCTAAAATTTTGACCATCCTTACCTGTACGAGTGTACGTACCTGCTCCCCTTTGATCTGATGTGGTTTCTTCACAACCTCTTTGACCAGCTGCAGGATAGTTTCTGTGTTCAAAGTGTTGAGTGACTTCACCAGCTCCACAATGATCAGCCTAGACTCACCGGCTACAGGAAGAACCTGAAGAAACTCAGAATGTAAGGATTCATGTGTCCTTTAGAGCTAGTCAGGGGGGTTTATTTCTCCTCAGACAACATCTCTTACTTTGTTTTTATGTCTCCTCTTGTTCCTCCTGTTGTTCCACACCACTCCTACTGAAGCCATCAGCTGAATCCCATATGCTCCAGTGAGAGGGAGCAGAAACTCCAGTATCCTCTGTCGCAAGATCTAATTTAAAAAAAAAAATCACGTTACTTTTATACATATTAAAGGTAAAAAACAAAACAAAAAAACAGCAACTCATGCAGACCTTGGTGGATTTGAAATAGACAGAAGCAGAGCTGTGTTTGCTGCTGTGGGCAGAGTCGGACGCTCGCTTCTGAAGGTCCTCCCTCACGACCACGCCCCACAGAAGCGACATGCTGCTGAGCATGTGTGGGAGCACCTCCAGTACGGCGTTACGTGCGTTACGGACATCCAAGGGATCACAGATGACCAGAGACTGATGGAAGGAGATGGATTTAAAAATACTAATTATTACAATATTCAGAGATGTAGTCGATACCAAAGAGTACAGCTTTAAACTGCATCTCACTGCAAGCACAAAGCAGAGGTGTATAAAATACTGCAGGAGAGGCATGAAGATGAATGGAGCTTGTTAAGATTGGTCATCTTTATCAAAAAAAAAATTTTAGAAACGCATTAGAAATGGCCTTAAAATACATTTATGATTTATTCTCCATTTCTAACCTTTTTATTGTCCAGGAGACAAAAATGTGTGATGGTGGTCAGGCCTTCCAGCAGAGTCAAAGGGTAATCAGGAGCAATGTTCTCCCTCCGGCCAGTCAAGCTGGTGAAAGAAATCAGGGAAAACTTGTAGCAAATAAACAAAGGACATTACAGTGAAGGTTATTTTAAGTAGAACTTCCATGTATTCCGGCTACCTCTGGATCGTCCTTCCTCCGTCATGTTCATGCAGCCTGACCAGTTCGTCCAAGTTCCTGCAGATCTGACTGATGAGCGGAGCCACGATGATCCCCAGCGAGCGCCCCAGGTACGGCAGCAAGGAGCACAGCAGCGACACCCAGTGTGGGTGCATGGCGTAGCCATACTGAGGCTGCAGAGCTCTGGCTGCAGCAGAAACAAACATCCCCTGCGCTGTGATGGGGTGGCTCTTTACGTATTGTGCTGCTTTGATGGACTGCTGGAACAGAACAGCAGTTTGCCACTCGCGAGCCAGTGGGGTGGTGGTGGGCGAGGACTCACGCAAATCCCCAGGCTGGGTGGAGGCTCCACCGGCTGCAGAGATGGCCCCATCAGTCCACACGTGGTATTCAAGCACTATGAGAGCCTTCAGTAATTTGAGTAATTCTATCTGTAAGGGGTATTGCTCCTGTCCTCCGCCTGCTCCCAGATTGACCAGACTCTCCTCTGACTGGACCCCATGCTCATCAAGCAGCTCAACACCTTTAGAGGATTTCCTGTCTGCCCCCTTCTGGCTGATGTACATTGATGCAGACAGAGAAAGCAGAGCATATTGCTGCACTTTACAGCTTGAGAGGAGTCTGTTGATGGACTCCAGAGTGCCTGCTGCTGCCCGCCCTTGCGCCTTGCAGCTGAGCTGGTTCACGATCCGAGTCAGCACCGCCACGCTCTTCACCTGGACCTCCCGGTTCCCTTGCAGGTCTTGAGGAGTCAGGCTCAAATAGGAGGGGTAGTGGGAGCGCAGAAACCGGAGGCAGAGTGACACCAGCAGATCAATGAGCAGTGATGGGGGCACAGAAGGAGAGGATGTGGGAGAGAGCAGGCATCCGTAGAAGCTCCTGCCATCCTGAGCCTGCTGGTGGCGCTGCAGAAGGTTTGAGACCAGGTGTAGATGTGCAGCAGAGCTCGTGTCTAGTGAGGTGGAGCACAGCGCGTCCACTAGCGGGTACTCAGCACTGCTCCTCAGCAGACTGTCCAGCAGCGCCAAACCCTGGAGAAGATGATGCCAGCCTCCCGCTGACGGGTACAGCAGCACATGGTGGAACAGAGAATTAATGGCTTCTTGCTTCTCACGCTCCAGCTTCTGCAGCCGAGACCTGGCCATCTCCTCCAGCTCTAGATCCTCCTCATCGTCACTTGACAGGGATTCAGACGCTTGTGTGCGCTCAGACTCGACCCTCCGCAGGCCGTTCACCAACCCTCCCTCCTCAGCGCTGCTGTGTGGAGCCGAGCATGAGCTGGAGATCTCGGTGGACACTTGGGCCCCACTGGTGTCAGCTGACTCTGTGTGCTCGCTCTCAGCTTCCTCTTCCTCCTCGTCTTCTTCCTCCGTCACCTCACTCTCACTCCTCGACATCGCTACAGCATCTGGAGGTTTTCCCACCTCTGGTCCACTGTCCAACTCTGCCCACAGCGCCTCTCGGTCCACCACATTCTGAACATTTAAACCGGCGACGTCAGCTGTTGTGATGTCAGCAGACGTCCGAGAAGTTCTGCTCACACTTCGACCTCTGTTGCTAAGAACCTTCAAGTTACCTAAAAGACAATCGGCACCTCGACTTAGCAAACAAATCCATGTATACAAGCAACAAACGCCGAAGGCTGAACTTACCAGCAGGGGCGTTCTGTTTGACGTTCTGAATGGAGCAGCGCTGAGTGGACGGGTGGAGCAGCAGCAACAGAATCGGCTCCAGGATTCGAATCACGTCTTTAAGGGACAGAGCTCTGACTAACCAGCACTGAGCTGCTGCGCTTACTGAGCCATCAGTGGAGCTCAGGCTGTCCACCACCACACACAGAGACCTGAGACACAAACAAAACCTTTTCTAAATGAACTCAGGCGTTTCCTGCACATCTTTCTCTGGTTTTATACTTTATTGTGTCACAATTAAGGGAATAATGAGTAAAAGGTGTTATATCAATAGTGACAAATAGGAGCTACAATAAGGAGATTTCTCATTCTAATCACAAAAAATAATTTATTGAAGATGCTGCTCTCAGTTAATCTAACAAATTCCTACATGTATCATACTGACCGGTCAAAGGAGCGACCCAGAGACACGGTTCTGTTGCCCTGAATCTCACGGGTCAGGTGCCACAGTACTGTGAAGCGGTGCAGCGCTTCCAGTCTAACTCCCTGGACAAGAGAAGCACATCCACTTTTTATCTTTTAGAATAACATCTTTATTATTTATTTGTACAGTGATCCCTCGTTTATCGCGGTAGATGCGTTCCAGACCTGGCCGCGATAGGTGAAAATCCGCGAAGTAGGGACACCATATTTACAGTATTTATTTAACAGGTACGTATACAGTATTCAGACTTTTAAAACCCTCCCTTTACATAGTACTGTATTTTTACTTGTTTTTTTTATAGTTTTATTACAAAAAGTGCATTTTATGATGAAATTGATGGGAAAAAAAACAGGAATTTCTTGATATTTCGCATAGAAAAATACCGCGAATCTACGAATTTCCCTTGACTAAGGCTCCAAAGAAAAAATCTGCGAAGTCGTGAATCCGCGATAAACGAACCGTGAAGTAGCGAGGGATCACTGTAGTATAAATTAACATAAACTGTGTGAATAAGCTGCGGCTCTGCAGGTCTACGCACCTTGTCCTTGTGTAGCAGCGCCTGGCAGATGATGTCTTCACAGATGGTTGTGGACGGAGCCAAACAGTGCAGCCTATAAAACAGGTCCACACAGGAAACGTGCTGCTCTCTCTGCTCCGTGTCCAGCTGAGCCCACAGAACCTTGGACACCCGCTGGGTTACAGAAGAAAAGAATCCCATAATTTATACAGCGTCTTATAATTTAGTTACAGCTTCTCTTCGATAATCTGACCTGATAGAAATCTGTGCCCTCCTCTAGCGCTCGGAGCAGAACCGGATAGATGGGTGGAAGGGAGACCATCTGAAGCCTCCCACTCAGCGGGTTGGACTCAGAGTTCTGGTACCGTCTGTGCTTGTCCTGAATGACCAGAGCTAAGGACTGGGAGCGGTTGATGAGCTCCAACAGGGACGCCAGTGCGGTATGCTGAATGTTGTGGTCCTTTGATGTGCAGCACAGGATCATCATGGTCCTGATCCACACCGGCAGGTTTCCCATGTGGCTGTCTGAAATAAAACAAAGTATTTCAACGGGTCATTTGTGAGGTATTATAAACTCACTGATCCATGTGCTGACCTGTGGGGCCAAACATGTCTGTGTGCAGAGCAAGCATCTCCTCTTCACTGAAGTAAACAGGGAAGGTGGTGCTCTCCAGCAGCAGGTGACATGTGGCGACGAAGGCCTGTCGACAGGCCTCAGAAATCTCAGCCCTCCCCCGGGGCATGTAGCCCGCTGCCCAGTCCAAACACCCACCGGGACCGCAGTCCTTTTTATTTTCAGTGGGAGCTGCTGGGAGCTGCGTCTCCCAGGAGACACGAGCTTTGAGTTTATTTGGAGTAAAGAGTTCAGTCAGCTTGTCTTTAATCTCTCTTCCCTTTAACAAAGACTTCTGATCCACAGAGGTGGGACTAACGTCTTGATGGGGTTCTGGATCTGGCTCTCCGACATCCTCCACCTGCACCATCAGGTATCTAAAACAGAGGAAGAATAAAAAAAAAAAGGTTTTAAAAACTCACTTCAGGACTTCCTAGAATCCAGCTGGATTTGATGGCGAGTTTTACCTTGTGGTTATGAAGGCAAGGATGTCCTGCAGGCACTGGGACATGGTGTCCATGCTGCCTCCTCTTCTCCAAACTCCCTCACAGTTCCTGCTAATTCCAGTTTGCTCAACGGCCTTCGTCACCTCCAGGGACAGATGCTGCTCTGACGGTGAAGCACTGATGCCCAGTCCACTGTCCTCAGACCTCAGAGTTGGGTAAACACCATGAGCAGGTCCTCCATCCCCCCCTCCATCTCCCCTCTCCTGTTCCTCCTCCAGATGCCCATCAACAACCCCATTTTTATCTCCTTCACTCTCTAAATCCTGGATAAAGAGAAACACACAATTAAGACACACTATTGGCCCTTTTAAAAAGACGAAACTGCAACCCCCCCCCCCCCCCAATCACCTGTGTTTTAGTGATTTCCTCCTCAGGTGACTGTATCTCCATCTCCTCTGTGTGTGCCACTGAATCGACGTCCATGTAAGCTACAGGCATTTGGATCTTACTCAGAACCTTGAAGCACGCACGCAGACCATGCGTTACATCCTCAAGGCAAACAGAGTCCATGTTGTGGAGAAGCGCCTGCAGCATTGAGCCCAACATGCCAGGGAGGAAATATGACTGGATGTCAACATAGAGCTCCTGGAAAATAAAATAAACAACTTCTTGTTAAATCAACTCAACCTTACAGCTGAAATATTCATAGAATTCAAATTGGTGTGTGTGTGTGTGTGTGTGTGTGTGTGTGTGTGTGTGTGTGTGTGTGTGTTTTACCAAAGGAAGAACATCAAGCAGGAAAATGATGAGGTTGGACATTTCTTTAACATAAGGAGCTGGGTGATCGTAGTCCTCCTCAGGAGGTGAATCAGCCTTTTTGCTACAATAAAAAAAAAAGAATTTCAAACCACTCAACGCTTTCTAATATTTCCAATTTTAAACATTTTCATCCTTTGTCGGAAAGGAAAGTTGCTCAATGTATTGAAACTTTTCTTGTAATCAGAATGAATCACAGACACACCTGAGAGATGAGCAGAAGTGCTGAGTCATGTACTCCCACAGGTATTCACTGTTCATGGAGCTCACAAGCATATTCACCGTCTTGATGATCTCTGATGCTTTCTTATTCTCTTTTATTTTACTGTTAAAAAGAAAAGAAGTAACTGTTTCTGGATTTCTACAATCGTACATGGAAAGTCACAACCCATAGACAGAGTGGAATCTACTGTTGTCTTTCAAACTGTCTCTGCACGCTTTTGGACTGAGCTAGGACCAATCAGAGCAACGGAAAATGTGACGTACTCATCGCTTAGTAAATCAGTCAATGGGGCAGTCTGTCATACATCGTCAAAGAAGAAGAAGCCTAAGCTAAATTGTCCAAAGTTGATGCCAAAGCTGCTTCAAACTAGGGTTGTCACGATACTAAAATTTCAAACTCGATTCGATACTTGAAAAAAAAACTCGATACTCGATTTCAATACTATTTAAAAACACCAATTTATTGAACAAGTTTATTCAAAAAATAACATTCCTCAATTTATATTGCAAAAATTAAATGCTAAGAATTAAGTGTATAAAGTGCTTAAACCTTTCAAGTATCAGCATTTTTTAAAACGTGCATACAAAAACTGGCGAAAGTTAACACTTAAAATCATGAATTGTCTCACTATATATACACTATGTGCAGAGTGATGTTTTGCTGCTTAAACTCGGCATTTTTGTCATAAGATGTAATGCCATATGTTTTGTTCTGTACTTTTGAACAACTCTGTTGGTCAATAAAGGGAGAAAACGAATTTCTCCACGGTAGGACAAAGGTACATCTACCGGTAATCTTAATAAAAACAGAATGGCGCACAGCAGTGACGTAATTAAAAGCGCCGGTTAGATTAGCCGCAGCTAGTCTGTTCACGCCTAGAAATCCCAGACCCGCTCCAAACGAACAGGGGAATCACGTTAATGATTCCTAACAAAACCTTTCGACATTGAGATGTTTTGGTACAGATGATGTCTTATTTCGAGGCTGCACCATGGGTGCCCGTCTGCACCCGTTATATGGATATACACTGATGGCGATTCGCCGATGGATCTAAATACCCCGGGGAATCCAAGTAGCACCAAAGTTGTCAGCGTGACTAAACAAACGTACTGCATGCTAGAAATTAAGTCCGGGTTGCAATAAACGGGAGTTTCCTTTAAGCATATAAGCGTGAATATACAACTACGTGTCAGACTTGGTATGCTAATGAAGTTGGGCTGTGAAGTGCCTCCCAAATTCGCTGTTTATGTTTTTGTTTATTTATTTGGCAGACAAAACTTGGATCGGAGACAACTCGCGTGGGAAATTGCTATGTAGCCATGCGGCGTCTTCTTCTTCTGTTTGTCTGGGAGGCGGAGGCTGCTTTACGGCATCTGGCTGTCGTGCATGTCAGTGTACTAGAAGAAGGCTGGGTATAATAGTCCATAATATCGATACCACAGGGATGGAATATCTAATACCACTTTTAGCATTGATTTATATCTAGGTATCGATTTTTTTGACAACACTACTTCAAACTAGTGCCGTTCCTGAGACGCCACCTCATTGCTGCTCTGCCGCTATCATAAAAAAAAGGTCTCTGTCTTAATGCCCCCCCCCCCCCCAATGTTTCTAAAACTTAAAACTGTTCTGGCCATTGGGAGACCTGCTGAGGCTGGAGCGCGGCTAGACCAACCTGCTACTGCTTTGGCTGGTCTAGATTTCTAGGCTAGCAATCATCTAATGCTACATCGGTTTCTGGATTCTATCATCTCACCTGGAAAGCTGGTTGCACGGAATTCCTGCATTATTTTCCCCATCGAGCGTCTCCCGGCAGTAGCTGTGAAAGGCTCGGACGACCTCCAGCAACACACAGCTTAAGACAGGAGGCCCTGAGCAGAAACGAGATCATTAGTGAGGCTTGCTTGAAACAACTGATTCCAGAAGCAGTGCTCAGAGCTCCCTACCTATCTCAGGTTTATCGAGCAGACTGATGATGATGCGAAAGGGTTTGAGGTAGCGAATCACGCTTTCTGGATCACCATCCACCTCCTTTTGTCTGAGGATTTTAATCAGAGCCTGGAGTCAGAAACACAAACACATTCGAAGAAGAGAAGCAGATATGAACACACCAATCAGAAAAACAAACGTCTCCTAAAAAGTGTTGATCTGCATCACTTTCATCACTGGGTTTAGTGTCTCCAGGGCTTTCCCTTAAATTTCCATCTTTTCACTGAACAAACCAGCTGCTGCTTTCACTTCATAACCCATTTAAAAAAGAAATACCTTCACAAGAATATCTTTAGAATAAGAGTTGAAGTAGAAGGACGTATGATCCTCTACTGTGGTGGAGAGGGTGGGGTGTGGCGCCACCATCCCTCCTTTAATGTCCGTACCTGGAAACACACAAACGCAACAAAGACTAATGAGAAACATTCATCTTTAGCCAAACAGTGGTGTAACATTATACATGTGACTCATGTCTGGTGTATATTCTGAATGGCAGCACCTAGGAGCCAGGCGTAGAGGCGTCTGTTGAGGGACATGTCTCTTCTGAGCAGTGTGAGTAAAGCTGCAGAGACCACAGTGATGAGGTCTTCCATGCTAAAAGCAACAGTCTGCTCGGCAGGATCCTGAAACAACATATGGAGAGGAAGCTGGACAATGAACAACAGAAAAGCCTTGTGCGTTTATCCTCCAGTGACTGCAAAATTCAAGAAATATCTGATACCCTCCTTGCAAAATCTGTGTTTTCTCTAGTTATTAAGCCCGTTTCTACTTTCAGAACTTCCAGGTGATTTCATCGAACCTTCACGGCATGAGCGTGTCTCCACTTCACCAGGCTGGCCCAAAAGGACCACTTTCTGGACCATTTCAGGGATCGGGCGTGTATCTGACTGGGGTTTGTACTTGTAAACTGCCCGGTAAAGTCGCTGGGCGGAACTTGTTACTTCATGCTGATTGGTTGTACCGTGGTGGGAAATGATAACAGCAGATGACGCCAAACAACCAACATTTGTAAATTTGGAAGAGTTGTTGAAGAAGCAGAATGGAAGGAAAAGAAAGCTTTAAAGTCATCGCTTCTAAACTCTAAGCGCTGAAAAATGTGGTGAAAATTCCTCCTTGCTATAATTGTGTGGTCTCCTACAGAGCGCCATAAAAAAAAGGTGCTTCTTCTGGCCATAAAATTCAGCTTTTTACGCAACATAGCTGCTCTCCCTATTCCCCGAGTGGACGAAATGATGACATACTTTGATATAGAATAAATAATAATATTAGTTAGGGCTGCACGATATTAGGAAAACCTGCGATATATGATAACAGTGATTAATATTGCAATGATGATATTACTTGCGATAAATAAAAATTTAGCTCAGGAACAAAAATGATCAAAAATTAAAAAAATTACAACAAAATCATAAAAGTGAGAAAAGCAAAAGATGCGAGGAAAGGGAAAAAGAAAATGAACAAGAAAAGGCAGTCAGTGGATACCGCGAAAAGCAGAATCAGCAGAAAGAGCAGAACAAAGCTAACTCAGGTGTTTGCTAACCATCAAAATTCAGCACCGTCCACCTCGGGGGCGGGCGTCTGACCTATGAGAACCCACCCAATTGGCCAAATGGGTGAAGAGCTCCATCTGATTTGTTAAAAAAACATCTTGCTTCCATTTGATTGACAGAATGCATTACGTGTAGCAAACATTTGAGCTGACCATTGTAGCGGAAATCCACATTTTTATATTCTCAGTTAACTTTATCGGGATCCACACGGAGCAGAGCAATAACTTTAATAACATTCTCACAAAGAGTTTTCTTTCACACTTAGCAGAAAGAGGGGAATTTGCACTGGCCTACAAGCCACATACCATTCTCGAACACCTGGTTAACTCCTATATTTTGTTCCCAGGAACATAAACTTTACCAAGTGACTTGTTTTCCCTCCTTAAATCAATCAAGAAGCGGGACGACATTAGAACGTGGTCTGGTCTATGTCAACCTGTCAAGACAACTCTCCCCCAAGGTTGAATGCTCGTAAATCTGACATGAAGACTCCAGGATTTAGCCTTCATCAGAACCCTGGTATTTTTCTGTTTATCTATAATCAAAGACGGTGTTTAGGTTATTTACCCTTAAAATAGAAATCAAGGTGCTCCAAGTTAAAATCTTTTCAGTTACAAAGCTAACTGCTTGTTTGTGTTTCTTGTATGCTAAACCTCTGTCAATTTGTGTTTCTCCAGTTAAAGTTCCTGCCAAAGGGTAAAACTATTTAGTTTTAAGACATGAATTTTATTCTTTCCTGTTTAAAGTAATACTTTGATGTTAGAGTAATCCTTTTAAGGCTTTATCTGGAATAAGTTTTGGAAAATTTTGAGATGAACTCTTCATGGCTGTTGAAAGTAGTTTATGTGGAAGAGCCACCAGTTGTTTTTGAGCGAGATACAAGTGGGTGTAACCCAGGAGGTTATTTAAGCCCATCCGAACCTCGTGGCGGCAGTTTTAAGAACCAAAGACGTCTTAAAATGTTAAAAACTTTAGGAGCAACTCCGGTGTTTTGTTGACTTCCTACGTGAAACCGGAAGTCTGCGTGTTTGTCGAGGCGTTAAGAGTTGAAAGCAATTTGGAAAAGTTCTGATTCAGCACCATTTGTGAATCTGGAATCGTGTTCTGAATTCCACGTTTCGGTGCAGCTGAGTTGAGGACCTTAAAGTCAAGCCACGGTGTGGGAACGCATCATTCTCAAATCCACAGATGCCCGTTGACCAACTCGGAGGCCAAAATTCCTACAGTCCCCGAAAGCACCACCCCGTAGGACTTCTCAGGCTTACCACAGCCTAGGTGGTCATCCCTGGCGACGGAGGAAAGGTCTGTGAATCATTTTCATCTGGCTGACTTTTCCTGATAAGCCCGATTAGTGAATTCAAACTTAAACTTTTATGGCTTGTTATTCTCGTTCCCAATTCCCGTTAATCTCTCAAGATTTACTTTCTTTCTCTGCCGCTCACGAATCCTTATTCACACACACACACACACACACACACACACACACACACACACACACACACACACACACACACACACACACACACACACACACACACACACATTCCTATACCCATAGGAACACACACACGCTCACTGTCCCCCTTTAGAAATTATCCCCCAATTTTCTATAATCCTGGTGTCACCAAATTTCCCACTGTTATTACAAACTAGTTATGTCATAGCACTGCTATAAAGTTTTGTGTTTATCCATTTACTTATTCTCATGCATGAAACAATAAGCTGTGTTTGGTTCTCTTTGTCAATTTTCACAACTGATGTTCGTAATAAACTCACAAAACGTAAATACTGCCTGATTATTTCTAGCGATCTCGAGAATAGCCGACGCATTCTGACAAGAACTCAGCTTTCAGACTAATGTGTGGTGTTAAAATTAGACTGACGACCTTGAACAAAACCTAAATTTCCCCTCGAGTGTTCCCAGTCACACTAACAAAGGCTGGGTGGTGCCCCAATTAATCAATATAAGATCATAAACAAGCTAAATCTACGCCACATTTGAAATATATAAATCTATATATATGTATTGCTACACCATTCAGTGCGATATTTATCCGTTCTTTGCGATAAGCATATTGTGCATACTGATATCACGATAACGATATATTTGCGATATATTGTGCAGCCCTAATATTAGTGTTTGTGGACACCTTTTGGTGCTGAACAGTGATGTCACTCACTGCCAAAACAGTCCTCATACGCTAAAGTATTAGCAAAAGTCCTGAAAGGACTAATTTTGGACGACTGAGTGTACAGAGCCATAATATTTTCCCTGTCACCCTCCCAAAACTGTCCCCGACTTCCTATAGTGGAAACATAGCTGTCCAGAAACAACAGAAAGTGATGCACCGATACTTACCAAACACGTGGCAAGGGGGAAAAAGTAGAGAAGTACTTCAAGCATGTTCCTCTGAACCAATGCATTTGAATCTTGCAGGGAAAGGCAGACTGACTTTTTCTGGAGATGGACAGAAATAAAACAACTTACATGAGTATAATATGAATATAATGGTTTTTATGGGTTCCAAATAAAAAAAAATGCAGGCAGTTACCACTACACGGTGGTCGTAGCCCAACATGTGTGTTTGTTGACTCAGCAGTGCCGTGCGGTCAAAGTGTGTGACTATGAAGACGGAAGCAGGCAGACGCACCATGGGGGTGACCAACATGCTGCCCCACAAAGCTCCATAGAAGACCTGCTGGCCAACTAACAGAGACAACTTCACCAGTATAGCATCGGTCCTGCACAGAGCAACATGGAGTCATAAGCAAAGATACGTCTGGTAATAAACCTTCACTACAGATAAGAACACAGCTACACCATGTAAATGTGACACAATAAAAAATAACCTGTCATTAACTTCCAGTCCTTCCTCTAGGCCTGGTAGGAGTCCAGTAATAAAGGCCTGCAGACTGGGCAGCAAGGCTCTCTGCAGTGGGAGATAGTAGCGCTCATACAGAGTCAGCAGCACGGGCTTCACTGCCATGGCCGCGTGGCCCAGGAGAGGGAACAATCCTGAGCTGAGAACAAGACATGCATAAAGCTTTACTGAAACCATTTAGGACAAAGTCCTCCTTTTCTTTGCTGCAGGGAGTGATCTGGTTCAGTTCCCATACCTGTAAATGAACAGATCCTTGGCCAGCCATTTTGTTCCGATGATTTTAAAGATGACCTCGTAAGTCTCCAAAGCCTTGAGGTGCACCCCGCTGGGCAGCGCCGGATGTAGACACTGAGCCAGACGCTTCCCTATGATCAGCCTCTTAGGCAGGAGCGAGTAGCGGAGGTTAGTCTGCAGAGCCTGAGAGATGGAGAAAGAGTTAACAAAAAGTTCAGAAAATGCAGCAAGGTAAAAACAAACAAAACAAACAAAAAAAAAACAATGAACAGAATTTGGCATAGATCTGAGATTAAAGTAACTAAGTATTTTTACCATTAATCTCTGGAAATATCCATCAAAATATTGTTGAAAATGAATAAAATGATGTCCTGGCATTTAAAAGTTTGCTTTGTACCATAAAACCATAAAAACCGGGTCTAAAGTACATAGGGGGCGGGTCTACTGTCTTTGGGGGATGTCATATTAGACGCCATGTTTCCTTCAGGCCAGCTCGGGGTCCTGCGCCTATCAATGACATCACATTGGATAACTGGCTGGCTATAGGGAGCCTAAGTCCCGCCCATCTACTTCTGGACCATGGGTCCTTAGAAGAACGAAAAAATGAATGCAAGTCAATGGGGCTGAAAACATTATTTTCTAATTCCGCATGTTATGTGCCATGGATTTAACATATGATGTCAGGGAATTTTAAAGACGCATTTTGATACCAAGAATGTGCTTATTTTTGCACACGGGGAAACGCTATTTTAGGTTTTGTGTGAAAAAAGTTCAGGACTACAAATGCGATTTACAAAAGTAACGTCATCGAACCAGACACGGAGAACAACTGAGGGAAAATGGCTGTAAGTTCAACAAACTTCAAGGCCTTCCTTCAGGAGGTAAGAACCACCATAAATCTCACCCTGTGGTAAGTAGCAGTTAAGCTAGGGGAGAGGAGATTATGCGGTGACGTCATATATGCGACGTGCTGATTTCTGGTGTGCAGTCATGCTAATTACGAACATTTACAAGCTGATAAATCTTAAAGTACGTGACTGGCGTGGTCGAAACACCCATCATTAGTTTTCTTTTAAATTGCAGTAAAACATATGTGTGATCCAGCGTCTCAGGCAAAGTGGACTAGAAAATAGCTTTTAGCCCCGTTGACTTGCATTCATTTCTTCATTTTTTCGTTCTTCCGGGGACCCAAGAGCCGACCTGAAAGGGAGGAGACTTAGGCTCCCTATACGACTTACAGAAGTTATGTTACCTCATTCAAAAACATTCAGGCAGTAAGAAACAATAATTTAAAAATAAACTACTAAAATCTTTCCAAAATATATGTGAAAGAACAGAATTGAAAAAGAGAGTCAATGTATTTTGGCTGAGTGGTATTGCCATAGTATGATGATGTCATCGGCAGGCGCAGGACCCCGAGTAGATCTGGAAACTACAACACCAGAAAACTACAATCAGCATTGCCTTCTCTCAACTGAATTAACTGAAGGACCATCAAAGACTGAGTCATACTCAGGTTGCATGCTTTCTGCTCCACGGGTAACAAACATTTACCGTAATCTAGGGCTGCTCAATTGATCCAATTTTAATCGCAATTCTGATCTGAGTTTTTGAAAGATTATAAAAACAAAACTAGCCAATTATTTGCTCCTCCCTCGTGGTTCACTCCGATGTAGCCACAGCTGCCCTGGAGCACACTGACAGAGACAAGGCTTTCCAAGCAGGAAACAGGCACCACCAGCAGCAAAGGTGGGTTAAGTGTCTTGCCCAAAGACACAACAGCAGCATTCTCTGGCAGAGCTGGGATCAAACCTGCAACCTTCCGATTACTGGACAACCCACTCTGATTGTGCCCTGTACAATGTTATGCCCAAATAAATAAATAAATAAACATTAATTAAAAAGTTGTCTTAAATAATTGATATCTCATTTTAAATCAAAATATGCATAATTATAATTTTTGCCACAATCGAGCAGCCCTACCGTAATGTTTTTATAAACTAGCGACAGTCACAGCAAAATGGTGCAATACCACCCTGAAATATACGTATGCACTGCCCGCTAGCACCACTGCCCCTTTAAACCTCTCATTCGCATGCATGGTGTCATTTTGGCACTAATAAACAATTCTAAATAAACAGTTGCTGTACAAGGGACTTAAACAGTGGGACTTTTATCGCCGGTTATAAAAGGTGAAAGGACTTGAAACAGAGCAGCTGTAGGACAGAAAGGGGAAGTTTCAGTGAGAAACAAAAGTCTGCACAAACGTACAGAGAACTGAAACACACTTCTGGTAAAATAACAACAACAAAGAGGAAACAGTAACTTTAGATTAAAAGTTGCAGAACTGATGAATCATATGGCTTATGGTACCTTATTGAGCTTGCCCAGGGAGGAGATGAGGTCTGCCCACTCACTCGAGGATTCAAAGTTCCGCAGCGCTTTCTCGATGACCGAAGCATAGTTACGATAGCGGTAATCGTTCAACAGCTCGACCTCCTCAGGATCCATCTTCTATCAGTTTGATTCCAACATATCTGGAAACAAAAGGAAGTTTGAATAATAGCAACAATGTTAAATAAAACCAGCCAGTTAGCTCTGAGGTAGGAGAGACACAAACATGCTCATTATTGACCGATCTGGGTTTGGCTGAAGAGGAAAAATCCCAACACAAACAAAAGGGGTCCTGCACCAGTTAGGAAGTAGACGTGAAACATTTAGTATCGCTCTTGGCTACACTGAAGATAAAAGCTGGTCTTTTCTTCTAAAACTCTGGATCGATGCAGCAAACTTTACATTTTATCTGTCCTGCATTCAAAGGGCAAAATCCACCCTTTCATTTGCATTTTAGTCCGCTGTTAAACACTTCTCTTCTTCTGTTTCAGGCTCCACCTACTCTCGAAGAAAAAGCTTCAACTTTAAGGTGAATTAAAACAAACAAAAAGGAGAAAAATAATCCAAATTATGCGCCAATTTCCAATGAGCTGATCGGTAGGCAACACGGCTTTAACATTATATACAAAAATACGACAAATGTAAAACCCCCACAACCCTTTTAGGCAAAAGGCTGCGATATCTGCTTTTGATCAAAGACAGTAGAAAGGGTTATGTGTTTAATACGAGTGTGAGATCAGAGAGGCAGGATTAGAGGAACGCAGACATCTGGAGTCCCTGTGAGTGAGCTCAAGCCGCTTTACAGCAGCCGAGGCCGACAGCGCATGCTCAGGATAATTCTGCACTGATGTCAAGTTACTCAAAATCAATAAAAGTTGAGAATTATACCACAATCCTACCATTTTTCCCATTGTTAGATTATTTTGTTTACACTGGATTTATGCTACACCAAAAGCTCAGAGTGAGCGCTCCCTGCTTGATTTAATGATCAGCACTCAAAAATGAGCCATTCCCATCTGTACCGGGTCAGCCCGGGCCGGGTAGCCCCAGTCGGCCCCAGCCTGGCCCGGTTGATTCCACACATCCTTGCCTTAAGCCCATGTGGGCTGATTCTACCCACCAATCAGAGGCTTGCTCTAATGGAAGGTGTGAATTTGCTGTCAGCAGTGGGCGTGTTAGCCCTGGTCGGCCTGAAGCAGACCCCCTCGAGAAGAGGGCCGAGAATGAGCCTTGGTTGGCCCGGGAAAATTCCAGGCCACCCAGATATGTAAACAACCTACGCTACCCGGCCCGGGCCGACCCGGTACAGATGGGAATGGCCCATTAGTCACTTGGCCTGATGTCATCAGTCAGTGCCCCAAATGGACAAGCGCAGCACAAACACAAAAATCTGCCAATGTAGGAAGGAAACAAGGCAATAAAACATATTTCTAGGCGGACAATAATTATGGTTACTGAGAAAGGTTTTGAACACGTCATTTGTGCTTCAGTATACAGTGGTTTCGAATGACTGATGTGTTTACCTGTGATAAGCTATAAGGTCAATAATGTAGGTATGCAGGTTCAGGGTCCCAAAGATAGCAGCACCACGCCCACAATGGCTACACAATTAGTTTGGCTGTTTGACTGTAGGACACTGCCTTTTTGTTAACCAGTATAATCCGTGTTACCCCACTTCACACTGGAAGCATCAGTGGGGCGCAACGGCAGCAGAACGTCACTGCTTCAAATAGAATCCACTATATGGGGGTAATTCAAACCAGCTGCGACGCAGAAATTTTCCAGCGCATCCCAGACGCAGCTTGCTGCACCACTAAAGATAAGTTCAGGTTCTATTTTTGCCGCAAGCCGATTCTGGGACATGTCAACTTCCGCAGACAGGAAATCTCACATGGTTTCAGTGTAAAATGTCTGTTAATTTTCAAAATAAAAGACTATAGCTGCAACGCAATTTCATATCTATGTAGATTACGTAAAAACATGTGACCTGACAGATTATTTACTCCCAGCAACATTTGAGAAGTGAAACTGTGTTTTAATGGCTTTAATCGTGGCATTGGAGATGACCAACATCATATCAATATCAAGCAGTGATATCAAACATTTATTTGTGTTTTGTTTAATAGCAGATGGCATAAACAAACCATGCATTTTTGAGTCTTGAGGGATTCTGTGATCTTATGAGTGCAGTAAGGAGCCTGGCAGAGAAGCTGCTCTGCAGCTGAGAGTCTCCCAGTGTGTTCTGGCGTGCAGCGAAATTCGCATTCTGCTGTCGTTCCGCTCTTTTGATGCCTCCAGTGGGAAGTAGGGGTTACTCTAACATTCTATACTCCCATGTGTTTTTTCTTTTTTCATATTAAAGCGTTTGACATAATTGCTAAACTCAATAGTTTAGCTCCTTTAAGGCAAGCTTCTGTTAAAATGTTAAAGACAATCAATATCTTACTAGTAAATAGTAAATAGGAGATCAGTTCTGACCACAGAGATGAGCTAACAGGGAGCCTAAGTCACTTCCACATCATGGGTCCCTGGAAGAACGAAAAAAATGAATGCAAGTCAACGGGGCTAAAAACACTATTTTCTAATCCGCTTTGCCTTACACCCTGGACCGCACATATGTTGTACTGCAATTTAAATGAAAACTATTGATGGTGTTTTGACCACGCCAGTCATGTACTTTGAGATTTATTAGCTTGTAAACGTCCGTAATTAGCATGACTACAAACAGCACGTCGTATATGTGATGTCACGACATAATGTCCTCTCCTTAAAGTAGCTGCTACTTACCAAATGACCAGATTTATGGTGGCTCTTTTCTCCTGTGGGAAGTTAGCTGAACTTACAGCCCTTTTCCCTCCGTTTTCTCCGTGTCTGATTCGATTTCGTGAAGCGCATTTGTAGTCCTGGACTTATTTTCACACAAAACCTAAAATATTGTTCTCGCCGTTCGAAAATAAGCACGTTCTTGGTACCAAAATACGTCTTTAAAATTCACAGACATCATATGTGAAATCCATGGCACAAGACAAGCAGAATTAGAAAATAGCGTTTTTAGCCCCATTGACTTGCATTCATTTTTTCGTTCTTCGGGGGACCAATGATGCGGAAGTGACTTAGGCTCCCTATAGCTCTTCACAAAAAGACCAGCTACTAAAACAACTCTAACTGTTATTCTGAAAGTGGGCACTGCAAATGCTATTCTATTAACATTTATATTAATGTTATTATTTTCTGTTTCTGCTGCAAATAGTGATAAATGTTGCTTTGATTAACCATAACAATCACACGTTATTAAGATGACAATATTTTGATTTGGTCCTACCCCTGCTTGAACTAGCCATTAGCTTATCAATCCAGTCAAAACTAATCTGTTTTACCAAAGCAAGGTTGTTTAAAGAGCTGTCTACAACAGATTACATATTATTTTGTACATAACATTTCCACAAAAACCATTTAATTTGTATGTGTATTGATCATGCGTGCGACAATATAGAGAGCAAGGATCTTAAAACCTTGCTTGTTAACAGGTGACACCTTGCACAAGAACAAGTCGTGCATTCTCACTTCCTCAGTTGATGCATCAGCAAAAACAAACAAGTGCAACAAGAAGAGAAAATCTACAGAAAGCAATTTAGCACAAATGTGTATGTTTTCAGGGTGGACGCATGACAAAAGAGTCACCTGACTGACATCATCAGTCATGACACAATCAACATGACACGATCATTATTGTGGGGCAGCAGTAGCTCAACAGGTTGAGTGGGTTGTCCAGTAATCAGAAGGTTGCAGGTTCGATCCTGGCTCCGGAAGGAGAATTCTGCTGATGTGTCCTTAGGCACTTAACCCACCTTGCCTGCTGGTGGTTGGAGGGACCGGTGGCGCCTATGCTCAGCAGCCTTGCCTCTGTCAGTGTGCCCCAGGGCAGCTGTGGCTACATCGTAGCTCATCATCATCAGTATGTGTGTGTGTGAATGGATGAATGATACACTCTGGAGTCCTTACTCTGAGGGGTGCTATACAAGTGTGGGTCATTTATCATTTATTTATCACAAACACCACCACAATGGGATTAATGTGTTGGCAGATGAAGGGACAGCTAGCCTATTGAACTAGACCAAATTCTTGCTTTGCAAGTGGTCTGGCTTGCCAGGCTACGGGACAGTAGGATCTGAGGCCAATTTACACTTGGCTGCAGCAGATTTTGGCCTGTGGGACAGTACTGTAGCATCAGCGGAGCTCACCATTACGCAATATCGGAACACAGGCTCGATTAATATTGCTGAAAGTGACGCAACAAGAAGAGGACAATATTTACAGTATACTGCGCATAGCTAGCTTCTACTGCCAATAAGCTAGTATTGAAATATAAGATTTCAATTAAATTAAGTATAATTTTACAGTGTAAACTAAAAGCATGGTAGTTTTCTCACTGGTTTATTCATACTGTTTCAACATACAACAGCGTCGTAAACAATCAGCTAGCTATCAGGTGCATCGTGACTCACCAACAGAAACGGGCACAGGATGCTTCGGGCAACGATCGCTTCAAAACAGCCGAATTCAATGAGGAGACTGCTCGGGTCCGATTAGGCATCTTCGACGCTGCCCTGGCACGAATGAAAAAAAAAAAGGCTGAAAGTGAAGTGGAACCAGCGTTCGTCGTGGTTATCACGGGGCGGGATCCTAGAACTCAGCTGATCCGACACCTAGCGCTGCCGAGCAGCTTACCTTCTGACAGCGAGAGGGGTGTTTGATAGAGATCATTTAAATGAGAAAGCTATTTTTTTTCTCTAACTGAATCTTTTCGTATAAAATCATGAATATAAATTTATATATTTTGTAAACAATGTACTCAAAACTAGTTTAATTTTAAAGTGTAAATGTAGACATTATTACAAACCTCCTCACCCCTCTCAAGTTTGGTATATTCCAGGATGTCCCATGTTTACAAATCTCTCACCTCACTGCCATAAATTTGACCACACGTTTTACGACATGCTGCCTTTATTATCTTGCATTTGGACCTGCACTGTCGAAAATGTGTTTTTGAGCATTTATACTTAAGTTTTATTTCATAAATAATTTAAAACCTATACTAGAATAGAAAATGTAGTCAATTTGAAGTGAACTTTTGACCCGGACACTTAAAAAAATTATGTATGAAACAGCAACATGTGACTGATTAAAAAATAAAACAACTAAAATGCTGTGTCTAGTGTATTGTCATTTTTAACACATTTAATGAGTATTAAACTAAAAATTAAATTAGAAGTTATTACTGATGCATTTGTGTGTTTTAAAGTTTGGCAGTCATGTAATTTGTTTATTTTCTCTTTTTGGCTCTACAGGTCTTCTTGTAATTGTTTGCCAGTCTTTTGAGTTGTTTGCTGCAATTTAAAATCAATTGTAATTTCAAATATCACTTTAAAGTTTAAACGTAACTTTGATATAATTAATTATTGCTCAAAAATTAATGCAAAGTTCCTACATTTTTGGTAGCCTGTAGGACCCCCGCCCCCCCACCCCCACCATAACCCCCCCCCCCCCACACACACACACACACACAATTACCTCATAAAACTCAACAAATCAGACTTCATCTTAAAAAAATAATTCTGACTGGTTTTCAGTAAAAAGTATAGGAAGGAAATATACATATTACTGCATTCTGAAAAAAATCATTTTGCAGAATTCAACTTTATATTACAATAGATTTGTGTTTTTTAGTCTTTTTTCACTGTGCTCTGCTATAAAATCTTGTATTCCACATGCGCAAGGATACCAAACTTTATGCATTAAAACTTATATAATATATTTATCTAATAAGTCTTGTTTGAAACATCTTTAGATTATGTAAAGGTGTTAAATCTGTATCCAAACATGAACATGCAAGTCCAGCTGTAGATGGAGCTCCCGCAGTTGCAAACTTTTCTGTTCTGGTGGCCAGAACAGCTGGTGGGACTAATGAAACATTTTAATGACTGTCCTGCACATTAGACATTTTAAGATATGGAATGGGAGCTGTTAATAAAGAAACACCAGTTTAGGTTTCAAACAAAATCTCCAACCTCGGGGAGAAAGAGAGAGAGAGAGAGAGAGAGAGAGAGAGAGAGAGAGAGAGAGAGAGAGAGAGAGAGAGAGAGAGAGAGAGATTCATGTGACTACATTTTTGAATGCACACTAGTCACTGCAAAAGAAAATCTTTTTCTTTTTTGGTAAATACAATGGTTCAATTTCATATAAAATAATTGAGTACAGTGAAAATACTTCAATGCAGCACAGATCAAATAGGATTTATTCCAATGGAAAGTGTAGGATGATCTTTTATAAAAATGCTTTATGAGTTTCGTTTTGATTTGTTTTAGAGTTTAGCTTTGCAGTGTAGAATATTTTACTTGTTATCTGAATGTTAGTAGTTCTGTTAAATCAGGTTTTGTTGTCATCATCCACCAGATGTCCTCAGTTGCCCTCATTTCTAACACTCACCTGTTTTATGTTGTTAGTGATCCCCCTCCCCTGTATTTATTATCCATCTTTCCTTATGAATTTCATAAAAATCTAACTATATTTCATATAGATAGATTTTCTTTGTTAATTTTACTGTTGTTTTTACTGTGTTTTGGATTAGTGCACACTTGCTTTGCTGCAGACTCAGACAGTGGACACATGATTTATACCTTTGATCATCACCTTTTCATAATTCAGGCAGATCTGCCAGATTTTGAACGTCAACAGAGTACTTACCAATGCAAAATACATCTATAAATAGAAAAGCTTTGTTTAAACCTTAGCAAGAAAACTTGAAATTTGGTTACTAGCTTTGCGCCAACACTGGAGCAGTCACAGGTGTAATATTCACTAACTTGACGCGGCTGAAGGTGACACGTACAGCAAAAGCACATATAGTAAAGCGATTGTTTTATTTATTTTTAACACACACATACCATTGCGGTAATATTACGCTGATTTGCCGGCATGGTCTGTAAGCACCTACTGTCTCCGTCTTTGTCATGATAGGAGCAAACCTTTTTGCATCATGATTACATTGTTTTGTTGGGTGAGGCAGCTGTTTTCAGAGAATTCCCTTTCAAATACTAAGGTGTGTTGTGGCAGGAATGCTTCCAAGTGAAATCCACTTGAATTCCTGAAATCAAGATTTCCTAATGAGTCATAATTCCTTTGACATGCTGCTGGATTTGTTTATGTGATTGATCTGTTTTGCTCCTTTTCCCATTAATTGTTCACTATTAATACCATTATTGGAAAACACCCATAGATTTCTGTGGGAATAAACAGGTTTGAGTTCTACCTGAGTGCTATCTCAAACACAACATAGTGCTAGGAAAACCAAATGAAGTCTTTATTATTGTGGTTTGAAGACTTTATGCCAAATAGGAAAAGCTACATTCATGTGTGCATACTAAACATAGAAAAAATGTTCTCTGGTGTTTCTAATATGCCTCAACAAAAGAGGGAGCAGAAACAGGGTGTATTGATGCCCTTCTCATCTGTTACTGAAAAAATCCCCAAATCGTGTGAGCACACCTTCTTCTGTGGTCTGTTTCCTTCTGATTATTGTATCTAATCCAAATCTAGATGATACCTTATGCCAATGTTGGCCTTACATTTCTCTGGGTGTATCAGTTTCTCATTTGAAGTGGTTTACTTCATGTTTGTCTGAAATTGTATTTTCTGTGGCGGTTTTTCAGATTAACTCTTTGACTTTTTGTGTCTATGGAATTCCACAAGGTAGTGTTTTATGGTCCTTATATTTCCTGTTAAACTTGTTTTCCCTTCAGAAGGTTTCTACATTAGACACATTTCTCATCACAGCTATGCAGATGACATTCAATTTGACATCTCTTTTAGAGCTCAAGATAGTTCCAAGCTACAGGACCTGCATGCAGTAAACACAGGCTAACAAAAACAATAAAAAAAAAACCTTTTGGAACAGTGTCCTCTTAACACTGTAACCTTTTCTCCCTCTGAGCTTTAGAATAGTGGACTCAGAGGTCTCTTTAATGTTCTTGCTCCCTGAGAATGTTCATGTTTATGTTTATGTATTTAGCAGACGCTTTTGTCCAAAGCGACTTACAAGTGATAATCGGCATTCAGTTTTAGAGAGGTTGAGTTGGAGATGGTGGGATTTCATCCATTTTGATGTGTCAGAGAGACAGTTTGATATTCGTGCAAAGACAGTGGGGTCGTCCGGTCGAAATGACAGATAGAGCTGGGTGTCGTCTGCATAGCAGTGGTAGGAGAAGCCATGTGATCGAATGATCTCACCCAGTGAGGTGGTGTGTATGGCAAATAGAAGAGGTCCTAGTATACAGAGCCCTGGGGGACTCCTGTGGCAAGATGGTGCATGGTAGAGGATTGTCCAAGCCAAGATACACTGAATGATCGTCCTGTGAGGTACGATTCAAACCAGGCGTGTGCTTTCTCTGTGATGCCCATGCTAGAGAGTGTGGACAAAAGGAAGCCATGGTTGACAGTGTCAAATGCAGCGGATAAGTCGAGCAGGAAAAGCACTGAGGATTTGCCTGTCGCTCTAGCTTCTTTTAAGGATTCAGTCACCGCTAACAGAGCAGTTTCAGTGGAGTGGCCCTTTTTGAACCAAGATTGGTAAGGGTCAAGCAGACAGTTTTGTGAGAGGTATTCTGTGATCTGCTTGAAAGCCACTCTTTCAATGATTTTGGACAGAAAAGGGAGGAGAGAGATAGGTCAGTAGTTCTCCACATGATTTGGAGGAAGAGATGTTTTTTTTTAGCAGCGGTTTAACCTAAGTATGCTTGAGAGAGGTGGGAAATGTACCGGATGTCAGTGAAGCGTTGATCACATGTGTGACTGCTGCGGCTACTGTAGGAGCAATAGCTTGGAGCAGCTTAGTCGGAATGGGGTCAAGTGGGCATGTAGTAGGACGATTGCACGCGAGAAGCTTGGACACATAGTTCTCAGTGAGAGGGGAAAAAGAGGAAAATGAAGCAGTAGGGCCTGAGATGGTTGGGCTAGAAGGGGTTTGTGGTAGCGAATGTTCAGGAGTGGCCAGTTGAGTAAACTGTTTGCTTATAGCTGCCACTTTGTCAGTGAAGAATGAGGCAAAGGTGTCAGCTGATAGATTGTTGGTAGGAGGTGGAGATGGAGGGTTGAGCAGAGTTTTGAATGTTGAAAATAGTTTCTGAGAGTCAGTAGAGCTGAGAATTTTGTCAGTGTAGAAAGCTTTCTTTGCATCAGTGATGCTGGCAGAGAATGAGGACAGTAATTCATGAAATTTCAATTGATCACCAGGATCTTTTGTTTTGCGCCATTTCCGTTCTGCAGCTCTAAGATTGGTGCATAGAGACCGGAGGGTATCATTTAGCCAAGGGTGCGACTGGGAGGATCTAGCAGGTCTAGTGGCTAAAGGGCACAAGTTGTTAAGACAAGAGCAGAGTGTGGAGCAGAGTGACTCGGTGGCATCATTCACTTCATAAGCAGAGAATTTGCTGGGAGATGGAAGAGTGGAAGCAACAAGAGAGGAGAAGTGGTTGGGTGCCAGGTTGCGGCAGAATGAGACCATTGGGGAGGAAGCAGTGGACTTCCCTTGTAGAGTCGTGCTGAAGTGGATGAAGTATTGATCGGAAAGATGCAGCGGTGTGACAGAGATTGTGTCTATGGCACAGTTTCTGGTGAAAATGAGGTCGAGTGCTTTTCCAGCTTTGTGAGTTGGAGGACTTTGTACTAGTTTTAAATCAAATGATG